TGAATTTCATTGCAGTATCGCTGTACAACTGACCCGATTGTAATACCGAACCCCACTTCGCACGTCTGCTATCAAAAAGTGATCCCATCCTAAAATAGGTTGCCTTTACCAAAGCAGTTATTGGGAGGTTTCGAATTCCCTTGAAAACAGAATTCATTGACTCGACGAGGTTGGTTGTCATGTGGCCCCATCGCACCCCATTGTCGTATGCCCGCGTCCATTTCTCCCTATCAATGCCATCAATCCATCTTAATGCATCAGCGTTGTTCAGTCTGATCTCGTCACGGTAGTATATGAATGTTGGTTCAGTTAGTGCATACCCCGCGTTCACAACCTTCTTCCGCAGCGTCCTGTCTTTGATCTCCCTCATGAAATTTTGGGCAATATGCCTTATGCAATAGACGTGGGTCGATGGAGGATCCTGCCAACCGTTGTCATGGTTGTTTTAAGCACTCTCGATGGATGGGTGTCGATCGGAGATCAAACATAAGTTAGGTTGGGGACACACGTAAGAGCGTAGGTTTTTTAAGAAAAAACTCCAACCCCCAGCAGTCTCCCCTTCAACTATGGCGAAGGCTATCGGGAAAATGTTGTTGTTCCCGTCTTGTGCCACAGCCATCAGAAGTGTGCCCTTATATTTCCCGTAAAGCCAGGTTCCGTAAATCTGAATTATAGGTTTACAAAATGCAAACCCTTTGATGCATGGTTCGAACGCCCAAAAGACTTTGTGGGAAATTCCATTTCCAGCAACATAACTCCCGTCTGGTGTACAAGCAGGCAACGTCTCCAATATCGCAACAGTTCCTGGAGAGTAGTGTTTAAGGGCTACTAGGAATTTAGGAAGTTCCTTGTATGACTCCTCCCAATTTCCAAACACCATTTCAACAGCTTTATTCCTGGCTATCCAGGCTTTTCGGTACGAAGGAGTGTAGTTGTACCTTTGTACCATATGTGCAATTATGGTACTCACCTTCAAAGATGGGTTGTCGCTGACGACTGATAGAATCTCATCACAAATCAACTTAGAGTTGAGTTTGTGATGGTCTTGCATCGGATTCGAGATTATACAGCTGTGGGACGGACCCATTGACCCTATCTTCCAGGAATCGCTTCTCTTCCTGAAAGATGTTGTTAATTTGAATGGGCACTCCTCGTTACGGCAATAGATCATATACCGCGTTTGATTTGAGTGATCAACTCTGTAATCGGCTGACAATTCCATGTGAAACTGTTTGATAGCCTGGACACAATCTTGTTTCGTACAAAACTCGTCGCCCTCTTTAAGTTGGCCCCGTGTTGTGTAGTTGGGGATGTAGAAAACATCCGTTGCGGGTTCATCATCAACTAAGGTGATATCAGTCATGTGTTTTGGTGGACAATAGACATGGTCAGGTTGAACTTCATCCTTCGGATTGTTCACCATCTCGTCAATAATGACTTCAGTTGCTTCTTCTTCTTCGTCAACGACATTGACTTCGGGGTGTTCATCTTTAGAATCGCAAAAAACTTGTGACGAATCAAGTTGTTGAGACTGTTGTTGTTGTTGTAACGTAATGTATACCATGATTTCTGAGAACCCTAAATACTCGTGAGTGCGGAACATGTTACGCACGTCTTCATCATCTCGCACCTTTAAAGGAAAAAATTTGCACGAATCAAGTCCGCCAAAGAATACTGGGTTTTTGTACACTATTTGGCCAACTGGACCGCACTGCAGTTTTTTTTCGATTCTTGACTTCAGGTGTAAAAAATTAGACCTTCTGTCAATTAAAAATCTTGTAACCACCGTGTTTCTGAAAGTGTATCCCGAGACCTCACATTCGAAAGCTTCACCATTCATATGAGCGGCAATCATGTGTTGTGGTGTTTGAGACATTGTGGAAATTATGGTGTCTGAATAATGGAGTGTTACAATGTTTTAGTGTTTTAGTGTGTTTGAGTCTTTGAGTGTGTTTGAGTCTTTGAGTGTGTTTGATAAAGGCTTTATATAATGGCCTTAGTGTTTCTGAATGTTTGAGTGTTTGATAAAGGCTTTATAAAATGGGCTTGGTGTTTTTGCATGTATCAGTAAAGTTCTGCCTTTCATTTATCACGCATGCTCCATAATCAATAACGTGAACAACAGACTAGATATGAAGTGACAATGCAAAGTTCTGCATTTACATGTGATGTTCAAGTCAGGAATCTCTGTATGATTAGACGCTACACTGAAGGGATCTCCTTTTTTCACATGTGATCTGCATCCCTACATTGACCATGCAGACCTACGAGCATCTGCTTTCATACATTAGACGGGACACTGCATTACAATAAATGCCATGTAGCCTGTTTGATTAGACGCTACACTGAAGGAATCTCATTTTTTCACATGTGATCTGCATCCTTTTACAAAAAAGACACTGCATTTACGCATAGCTGAAGCCAAGTGTCAACCATGCACTCACACCACACATATGTCACGCCAAGTTCTCAGCATGCACTCACACAACACATATGTCACGCCAAGTGCTCAGCATGCACCCACACAACACATATGTCACGCCAAGTGCTCAGCATGCACCCACACAACACATATCTCATCACAAGTGCTCAGCATGCACTCACACAACACATATCTCTTCACAAGTGTCAAGCATGCACTTAAACCATATCCACTCTTGGAATATAAATATGGGGTATTTACCCATCAAATTCTACTCACACTTAAAGTCTCCTACTCTCTTACTCTCCTACTCTCTTACTCTCCTACTCTCAAACTCGCAAACTCTCAAAGTCTGAAACTATTAAACTTTCATACTCCCAACTCTCGACAATGTCTGTACTAACCATGGGTGATTCTCATAGAGGGACGGCTGAAAACATCGCCGAGTTTGTAAGTCCTTTTGTTCATGTCTATGTTTTACCATTTTGTCCAAAAAAACGATAGTAATTTTGTCTAAAAAAACTATAGTAATTTTACTTCATTATTTTGTAGGATGTATCAAGGTTTCGGTGTCGTGTGCATGATTACATACCACACGACCCCCTCATTACAAACTATCTTATACATTGTGGGTTTGGGCATGTGATCGAAATCAAATCTTATTCCCTTGACACAAAATTTATTCTAGCGTTGTTAGAACGCTGGAGACCGGAGACACATACATTTCACCTTGGATAGAGCCGATCATTAGGGTTTTTTTTTTGTAATTTTCATTATATTTATATTTTTGTTCGTGTATTTTTAATTACATTATAAATTAATATAATTTCATTTTATTATCATTTTATGCTTACGAATATATTTTAATTATATTAATATTAATTAGATTATAAATTAATATATTTTATGGTTAATAATAATAATAATTAAAATCAAAAAACAATTAAATTTTATTTTAAAACGAAAATATATTATATCATAATTAAAAGCAAATTGAAAACGAAACAAACCCTAAAACACAAACCTCATTCGCCAATTGAATGGGCGAAAGCCCACAAACAAAGCCATTCGCCAAACCAAATGGCGAATCTCTTTAAAATGATCTGTTGCTGCTTGGCCTAATTCGCCAAACGAATTGGCGAACGTCTGTTGAAGCAATTCCAAACATTGCCATTTTGGTAATTTTTTTGAAACTATAATTTGTTTGGTAAATAAAAATTATAACATTGCTATTTTAAAAAAAAAATCCCCAAAATACTTGAATCCTCTTTCATTTCTCAAAAAGACCTTCATATTTTATTTAAATATTTTAATTTATATATGAGGCGTCGAATTTGTGAGTTAACAGTTACAACCATTTTTTCTTTTAAATGATGGTAATTACTTTCATAGTTCCTTCTGTCCACAATCTGATTTGTCTCTTTTTTTTCTTTCTTTGCTTCTCTCTTTAATTTTATTAATTTTTTTTTTGTTTTTTATGATTGTATGGTTTAGATGTTATAATAATATCAATTATTTTAGTTGGATTAACCGGGGGGAAGTTGATTGTTTTGATTTAGATGTTTTTGATTATTTTGGTTAAGTTTAAATATAAAATGGAGGGAGTAGTTATTTTTTATTTATGTAACTCTAAATAGTTTTAAAGGGTAAAAAAGAAAAGAAAAAAAATATACTACACCAAAAAAAAAATTATTTTTATATATTATTATAGATTATTATTAAATTAGTAAATTTCTAATAGCTATAATCCAAATATCTTGAATACACATTTTGACATTTTCAATTCAGTTTGATAGGCATTACCTTTTTTTTTTACTGAACATGGAATATTTGGTTCTAATCTCATATTCATATTTTTTTAAGTAAACAATATATATATATATATATATATATATATATATATATATATATATATATATATATATATATATATATATATATATATATATATATATATATATATATATATATATATATATATATATATATATATATATATATATATATATATATATATATATATATATATATATATATATAAATTATCAATCAATTTATTATATTAAAAATGATAAAATATTATTTAATTAATTAAAATTAATATGATATGACATTGAAAAAATAAATAACATTGATAAAAGAAAAATGTAACTTTATTGAAACATCGCCTTAAGAAAATGCAGTTTGTTTTAAAAATATAATAGCCTAAGCTGAAATTTATATTACAAGAATAAAAAATATGTTGTCAAAGCTGCCTAATTATTAATTTTGTTGGAACAGAAAAGAAGAAATATATGTTCCCTTTCTTCATCATGAAAGATGATTTCCGTCTCTTTTTCTGTGGCTAGGAGCAAAGGATATAGCTAATGGTGAAGTTGGTTGAATTGAATTAATTTGTATACTTAATTCTTTGCCATTTTAAGAACTTAATGAAAAAAAGTTGTTTGCATGAATTGAGGAAAGTGTAATTATCATATAATGTCACCCTCCTTCTTCAAACTTTCCATCATATACTTGTATGCTTCCTTTTGTGTTATCCACATAGCTAGTTTTTGTAACATCTCAGTTTTCATTAACAATGGCATCGAAAGGTTTTTCGATAATATTTGTCATGTTTTTGTTTGTTACAGTTGTCGCTACTCTCCCACCTCCACCACCAGGTAACTAATCTTTCTTCTTCTTTCTTCTTCTTTCTAATTCTGTTCTGTTTTATTCAAATAACTTATCATATATACTTCTGCAAATGTGTTTTGCTTTATGTCTAGTACCAGACCCTTTCGTTTCTGCGCCGCATCAATATTTATTTCCGGTCACAAACAACCCTAGCCGGGACCTCAAGAAATCTCCTCCAAAGTCGGTGATTGCTTTCTCGATAGCGTCTGGAGTAGTACTTTTCGTCATATCTGTGGGAGTGCTTGTTTATGTTTGTTTAAGATCATCATCATCACCACCACATGTTACTGCTACTGGGACAGTGGTTGGAGTTCCAGTGCCACTGCAACAACTCCGATCAATGGTGCAATCAAACCCTGCTTGAATATTTATAAATGTTTTATTATTATTGTAACTATTTTAGAATTCTGATTCATGAATATGAGTATTATTAGTGACTGTTAGAATAAAATTTAATGTTCAGAAATTGCATATTTTAATTTTGGATGTATAATTTAAATTATTAAATTTAAAATTGAATCATTCAATCTTGACCAAACATTGCCACGTGGAATTTATTCATGTGATTTTTTTAATATTGGTTTTGACACTCATTCAATTATACTATGAGAGGAAATGCACCAACTTTTAGTCCATTATAAAGTTTGTAAAGAAAATATTCAGTTGGTTCCATGGCCTTTTGCAAGGAAATGATTTTCTCCATTCCAAGATGAGCATGTGATAAAAATATTGGGGACTCATATGTGTTCGATGATTTTAAAAGTTAAAATATATATCTCAATTACTCTACTTAATGTAGTAACTTGCTATAAATATTGAGTTTTAACAATTCAATCATTAAGTGTATTTATTTTATATTAATAATCACACACACCAAATTTTATATAAGTTAAACATATCTAGCTATATTAATAACTCAAAATAAGTTTACATTCATCTAATATATTTGTCCTATCTCATTTCCTATTTTTGTAGGCTTTTGTCTAATATTTATAAAAAGAAATTATAACTTTAAATTTTTGGGAGGTAAAGTCCACCGGTGGCATTTAGCCTGATCAACTGAGTTTTTGACCATCATAGGTAACTGCATTTATGACCTATTGCGACCTTTTTTTGTTAAGCATTATTTTTATTTTTATATGTTTCTTTATTATTATTTTTACTGTTGTTACACCTCTTTCTAATATGTACCCCATCTCAAATGATCATATTATTTAATTTATATAAGTGAATGTGAAAGTTATAGTAAAAAGGAAAAATTGTCTCTCTATGGTTCTTCGAATACGTAGATAAATTTAGGTTGAAGAACTTTAGTCATTCAGAAAAGGAAACATTGAAGTTGAAAATTTGAAGAAAGGTATTTTATGTTTGTGAATATAATTTTTTTGTTTTTTTCAACAATGATTTTGAACGTAACGTATTTTCGTTTATAAATCCTTTTTGTTCTGGTCTAGTCCCTTGCTTGAATGGGAAGACCTAGCCCACTTATACTTGGTGAAAAGTCCAAATGAGTCTTCCTCATTTGTTTTGAGCACGAGGCTCTCGTCGACCAAGCATTGGCCTGTCGGACAGAACGTCTCCCCGTCAGGCAGAAAAGACGTGTGCCTCACACGTTCTCCACGTGCTCTCCTCCGCGGGAACACGTCATCAACCAACTGTCAACCTCCGAAAGAGCAGGTCAACCCACTCTCCGTAGTCCACGGAGCAGTTGAACTAGGGCGAAGACCACGTTCTAGCCTTCACTACGCCACGTAAGCCCTAGCAGTCACTTGGGTTGGGTCTGACCATCCAGCCCAACTCAAATGATCGTTGGCCCTGCGCTGGGGTCTCTCTATAAATACTCTCTTCCACAAGAGGGTCAAGTATTCAATTCTCAACCTACTTTCTGTATTTGCTTTCGCTTTGTCCAATTCCTCACCTCACTATGGTCGTTCGCCTGGTGGGGGATGGATATCCTCGGCCCGTTCACCTTAGGCTCATATCAGAACAAGTACCTGATAGTGGGCGTCGACTACTTCACCAAGTGGGTCGAAGCCGAAGCCCTTGCTAAAATCACGGCACACAACATACTCCGATTCTACAAAAGGAACATCCTCGCCAGGTTCGGCGTCCCGCTCGACATAGTCACCGATAACGGGACACAGTTCACCGACAGAAACTTCTGGGACTTCGTCACCAAACTCGGGACCACACACCACTTCACCTCGGTCGAACATCCATAGACAAACAGCTAAGCCGAGGTCGCGAATAGGATAATCCTCCGAGGATTAAAATGAAGACTCGGCGACGCCAAAAGAGGATGGGCTGAGGAGCTCCACAGCGTGCTCTGGGCGTACCGAACAACGCCTCACTCGACCACCGGGGAAACCCCATTCCGCCTCACGTACAGAACCGAGGCCGTGATCCCAGTCGAGATTAGGGAACCGTCCAGAAGAATTGAAGCACCCCTCGAAGAGGAAGCCAACGACGAAGCTCTCTAGGAGGAGCTTGACCTAGTCGAGGAGATCCGATTAGGAGCAGCCATCCGCGAAGCCAGGTTAAAACAAAAAGTAGTCCAACGCTACAATAGCAGACTCCTGAGGCGCGAATTCCAGATTGGCGATCTGGTCCTGCGAAGAAACCAAAAGGACTCGCACGAGGGCAAACTCGCCGCGAATTGGGAAGGCCCCTATCGTATTCGAGACAAAACAGAGCACTGGGCCTACTACCTCGAAAATCTCCACGGGAAACAACTAGCTCGACCTTGGAACGTTGAGAAGCTGAAAAAATACTACAGTTAAAACACTGCCCACGGCGACAATCGCCACAACCACAGGGGGGCGACATGGTACCATCGCGCCTCCTCACGTCTCCCCGAGACCAACGAAATAGTAAGCCCTACCTTTGTGTTTGCAGGCATAAGGCTCTGCTCGACGGAGACTCCCTCGACCGAGGCTCCCCGCCACTGTACCAGAATAGGCAGAACACCCAGCTCGCAATAGGACGTTCACGCCGCGGGGACCAAACTACCCCCTCCACGACACCGGTCAACCGACACCGGTCAACCGGTCAATTCTCCACACTACCGGGCACAATTATCGTCGAGCTACTTCTCCCAGACATACCAAAAAGCATAATAAACACGCATCTCAAACATACTAACTTACATTTCGAGCATACAACGTGCAGAATTAAATAAGCATATCATCATGCAAAAATAAAACGAGCGCACACTTAAACAAAATTCCATCTTATAAAGTCGGGCACCAGCACAGTAGTCAGGTTACAATATCAAATAAGGCGCGCAGGCCCAACAAAAACACTTAAACAAAAACAAATAGCAAAACATTGGCGCGCAGGCCCAAAAACAACGAGCACACAGGCCCGGAGAGATCTACATATCATCAGCGTCCTCCTCATCCGCGTCCATAGGGGCAGAGTCATCGACAGCTTCAGCGGCAGGATCGACCACCCGTCCGTCGACGATCTGGTGGAAAGGCCCGATTATATCCACGACCAGGCTGCCCGCGGGGTTAACCACCTTGAGCTGGTCCACGGCACTGGAAAAACCAACCCCGAACGCCTCCAAGCAATCGCCCTCCAACTCCCGGATCTTCCTCATCGGATCTGCACGGGTTACCATAAGCTTGTTCTCGTCCGTCTCGTCGTCGGCAAGAAGGAGAGATCCCTCCAACTCCCTTACGCGGGCCTTCAACGCCTGCACCTCCGCCTCCGCAGCCTTCAGCTTCTCCTCGGCATTCTCCCCCCGCTTGCGCTACGCAGCTGTATCTTCCTGGCTCTTCTCCAACTCCTCGGTCAGCTTATTTAGCCGCGACTGCATGAAAGTGAGGTCACCCTGCAGCTTAGCCAGCTCGGTTGAGGAGCAGCTTTCGTCGCTCAGGACCAAAGCCGTCGAGAACACCCGCATCATGGCCGCCAAATCCTCAGTCAAAACCTGCCTCCGAGCAGCCCGATTCACACCGAGGATCTTCTTGGCCTCCCCGGCCGGTACAGCTGGCGATCGAGCACCAAGATAGAAGCTAGGATGTTGGTAGCACGGTGGGATTAAGAAGCCCTCCTCAGCGAACCCTGCCGTCAAGTCGATGACGCCTTCGGGATGATGAACCTTGGCACGCTTAGCATCCCCTTGAGACGACGGGGAGTGGCTGCCCTGGGGCGACGAAGAGGAACCCTTGCCTCCCTGATCAGAAACAGCTTGCCCGGCCACCTGAGCGACCCGCGTTTTACCGACTTTGACCGCGACTCTGGTGGCAGCCAACTTCTTCACCCTCTCCTCAGTAGACATGCTCCCTGTAAAATAAAAGAAAGATGTCAGCAAAAGAATAAATAATTGAGAGGGCAAGGGGAAAGGGAGACGACCACCACCTAGATAACTAAGGGCCTCCTCCTCCGTCGAACACTCGAGCAGAGCCTTCGTGTTGATCAGCCTCTGCTTCTGGCAAACACGCCTCTCACTGTCGCGGATGTATCTACCATCGGGCGTCACAAGGTTAGTCGGGGGTAGGCCGGCCACGAACCCGACTATCTTCTAATAACCGGCCAGGTCATCCTCATCTAGGGTCTCTTCTCGCATGATATATCGATCGGTGCCCCTCGAGAAGTGCTCCTCAGTCCACTCCAAGGGCACCTTCGGGATCAAGACTTCCTCCCGCTGCCCATTTACTACTCCCTCCCCTCGCCTGTACAACGAGGAGCACGCCCCATGAGATATCGGCTTAACAACGAAGAATCGGGCCTTGATGTCCCGGACAGAATCCATGCACGTCCGAAAAAGCTTCTTCGGTTGTTTCAGCAAAACCCATCCACCGTCTACCGCTGTAGATGAAAAAGTCGAAAGAACAGCGGCAATGTCACCCCGTTCTCCAGATACCGGCAAATGATCTCGAACGCGCGAACAAAGGCTACGGCGTTAGGGTGCAACTGCGAGGGGGCTAACCGTAACCAGTCGAAGACCCCCAATTGGAAATCCGTGAACGGCAGACGGAGCCCAGCTTCGCGACAACAAAACTCGTACATAAGGAAATGCATCTTCCCAAACGACAAGCAGATACGGTGGTGCTCGCAAGGACGATACGCCTGCCAATTTTTTGGGTCATTTTCACACCTCTCTTCGACGGTGGGGAACGCGCCATTATCATCATCTACGAAGTATGAGGGTCTATTCAGGGGTTCCTCGGCCACCCATTCCTTGACAGGTCGGTCTGCGTTCTCGACGGTGGGCACCTCTAGCTCGTCGTCCACGTCCATAGTCCCTGGGACCCGTGATGTCATTAACACCTGAAAAGCAGAGGGAAACGGTGAATTCGATGTCCGATATCAAATTCACCCTTCCACCGCAGACCAAGTGAAAGGGCGACGGGGACA